GATTCTGTGTAAAATCAACTATTCTTGTTTGCTACAGTTTTCTATTTGTCTACCTCTTCCATAGAGTGGAGCTCATTACATTCATCTTTGTATCCTTGGTACCTATTATAGTATACTTTTTTTTAACATTTTATTTTGAAAGAATTTTAGACTTATAGATGAGTTGCAAAAATAGAGATAGGTGATCCAGAGTCTGTATGGCAATATGGTTTTTCAAATTAGAATAAAGTTAGTGGCATCTTATGGCCAGTGCAGGCAATGGTGATCAGCATTAGAGAGCTAAAAAGAGGAGAATAGCAAAAAAGGAGGTAGCTTTAAAAATGTGATTTAACTGAATCTTTAGCAACGGAACTGTAAGTAGTTTTGGGGGTATTGGCTATAGGGGCAGGAAAGGTTTTTATTTTTTATTTTTCTCTTGGCCGTAACTGGTCTCTTAGTCTTTGGTAAGTCATTTAATTTCTCATATTGCTCATCTATGGGGTATTGGCCATAGGGACAGGAAAGGTTTTTTTTTTTTTTTTCTCTTGGCTGTAACTGGCCACTTGGTCTTGGGTAAGTCATTTAATTTCTCATATTGCTCATCTGCAAAATGAGAGGATTGGACAAGATAAACTCTAAAGTCCCATTCAGCTGAAAGGTGCTGTGATTCTGTGGATTGTTTATAATCATTGTCTAGAAGAGTGACAATTTTCCTAATAGTTGCCAATGTTTATTTTTAGATGACAGTCTATCACTTGATGTGGAGTACATGGAGGAAAATGATGGAAACTTTGGAGATTCCTATGACTTTTCTTCAGTTGAGAATCCACATGTCAGAAAACATTTTCCAGAGACTTGGATTTGGCTAGACATCAACATGGGGTAAAAAAGTTGTTTGTCCATATATATTTTGTTTAGTGTTAGTTTTAAAGAGGTTTTGCCCTCTTTTTGTTGTTTAAGTACAAACATAGTGTGAGTAAGAACTAAATAGACCAAGAGGTTTTTATTGCAAAGTGATGTTGATTGCATCTGAATATAGTATTTAGTAAAGCCACATGTGAATTGTGGCAGTCATCACCAATGAAGGGTGATTTTTAACTTCTTTGAAGTCTTTTGGTTCATTATAAAAAAATTGCTGAGTATATTTGTTGCCTTGGGGTGGGCAGCACTCATGGTTACTCCCTCTACTTTGTGGCTCCTCATAATACATTCCCCTGAGCCACAGGGAAAGGGGTGTGGGTGGTGTAAGGAATTCACTTAGGTGACAAACCCTGTGCTACCTGTCTGATGACCGAACAGGTAAATCATGAAATCTATACGTATTTTATAGTTTCCTATTTACGGAAACTTGAAATAAGACACAAGTCAAATCTAAAAAATACCCAACAAATAGTAGCATTGATTGGGATATAGAGAGAAACTTTTATGCAAATTGAAAGATGAAATTAAAGTTATTTGAAAAAATATATTTATTATATATATAAAATTCATGAAAATAATGTTCATCTTTAAGATATAAACACTGTAGCAAGCTTTTATTTAACTATGGATCAGTATGATCTTATTATGGCCCATTCCTTGTTGTTTTATGTATAAGTCTTAAAAAATTTTAGATATGTAAATGTTTTGGAAAATTAATATTCTTCCAAAAATGGTTTTAGGTTATGTTGACTTATTTTGAAATGTATCAGTTCTTGGTTTTGTAATTTTTATATTTATCTTGACTTCAGTTCCAGGATTTACCAAGAATTTGAAGTTACTGTACCTGATTCTATCACTTCTTGGATAGCTACTGGTTTTGTGGTCTCTGAGGACTTGGGTTTTGGACTAACAACTACTGCAGCAGAGGTAGCATATTAAAGTGCTGCTTATAAATGTTACCATGTCATGAAGTGAAGAAAGTGTCAACTCCTCAATAGATTAAAAAAAAAAGATTGCTTTTGATGTTGATCACAGTTTAGAGATTCCTAGGTGGTGTGTGTGTGTGTGTGTGTGTGTGTGTTTCATCTGTTTTATATTTAAGAATGTGAGTTGTATTAAGCTACTAAATGTGCTGGGTCCATATTAAGATTTGGATAGAAAGTTTATTATTTACCAAATCCAACTACTTCCAAAGGTCAGAAGACAGAGAATATTTCTGTGTGTCCCTCTTTCAAGGACAAACAGAACTTCTCGAAATGTCCCCAAGCAGACATTCCCTCACATCTCCTGGGTTTAATTGCATCACATGTCACTTCCTAAATCAGTCACTGGTAAGAGGAATATAATAACAATCCTTGGTCATACCTGAAGCTCCTTTATATAAGAGATATTTTGTTTTGTCTCTCTGCCAATAAAAATGAAATTCATAGAATATATACAACACCCACATATTCAATTAAAAATCAATATGATACACTAAGTGAAATATTAAGCAGAAATAAAAGGATGGTAATGTATAATAAAATAATACATATTTCAGGATATATATGAGCAGGCATAGCTGCATTTGAAGACATCATAACATATTTAAACATTTACACCATGCACAGAGATGCAGTTGACATACTTGTATTGTTTTAGCTGCCTGTGGTGATATAAATTTCTGAAACCGTGAACAACTTTTAGTAACATTACAAAGTCTTCTTTTGATTTCCAAAATAGTTGTATTCATGAGAAATTCAGTGTGTGTTGAAAAATGCTTTGGGTTTACATTATATTATGTTGGAATTACGTTGTAAGTTCCGGTTCTTATAAGCAGGTACTTTGTCTACCTGGATGCCTGAAAAGACATTTAAGACTCATGAGGGATGTGGGACAATTTTTTGTTGTCTGGGACTCCTGAGTCTTACAGGCCTTCACCCGCTAAGTGCCAATAGTTCCTTCAAACGTTGTGGCAACCTAAGACACTTCCACAGATGCCCAAATAAACTGCCAGAGGGAATTCGTGATGCCAGTGGGAACCATCGGCTTAAAGGAATTGAGGTTTATCCTTAAAAACAGGGGAAGGTTCAGTTTCTCCTGCAGGACTTGGCCAACAGTATCGGAGTTGAGTCACCAACAAGGAAGTACGGGTGTCTGCAGATGTAGGCGAAAAGTAGTAAGCCGACCATTATTTAGACTTTGCACATGAGTCTGAGATAGTCTTTGATTTGGTGGGTGGCTTTTAATGCAGAATGGTGGAGTCAGTATAACATAGTAGCAGACTCTGACGTCACACACGCTGGGATCCAGTTCTGGCTCCTTCACTTACTGGCAATGTGATCTTACACTAGTTACAGGGTCTCTGAACTTCCTATTTAATCTCTGTGAAATATGAGGATAACACTGCCTCTGAAGGTTGTAATGATTAAATGAATTAATTTGGGTAAAGTACCTGGTTCCTAGTGGCCCTTAATAAAGTCTAGTGTTAACTAACATAAATATTCATTTGTGATGAGTTGCCATTTGCTGTATGTTGATAGGCAAGTGGACATTTCTATGTGAAGTTAAGCTTCATAGATTTTGTGAGATTTGCTTTTAATTCAATAAAACATGAAGCATTTTGATTTGAACAAAATATGTATTCATTGTGTTTTTTTCCAGCTAGAAGTCTTTCAGCCATTTTTCATTTCTCCGAATCTTCCCAACTCTGTGATCAGAGGTGAAGAATTTGCTTTGGAAATAACCATATTCAATTATTTGAAAGTTGACACTGAGGTAATGTATGAAAGATTTTGTTCACCACTTATACTACAGGAAGAAATGGAGAAAACGTGCAGGGCCTGGTTTGGTTAGTGTTTAGGCTCTGGGTATCTAAGCCTTTTATACATTTTGGAGGAATGAGCATAACCATCCTTGGGCAGCGATTTCTTCTGCTTATTAACGTCTAGGGATATTATTCACATGTATAAGCACTCTCTCTCTCCTCTGTCCTTTCCAGCACATTTTCCCCAGTTTAGCCACATAACTTCCCTATTGTCTCTGGGGCAGGCCTTCCTCTTTCCTGCCATCTGCCGTTTTTTCCTAGTCTGACTCACATCTAGAATGTGTTGCCGCTCATCACTGCCATTCTTTGCCCAGTGTGGTTGGCAAGAATTTATTCCATTCAAGACCTGGCTTGAAACTAAGATGCCTTTCCTCACCATTCTGTTCCGTGTGTTGTTCTCACATTTAGACAGGGCGCCTGTTTCCAAGGCTTGGTGTTTTGAGCCATGTGCCTTGTGTCTCCTCAGCGAGTCAGTTCCCTGGAAGGCAGGATTAGGCTCACTGTTTGTGTTGTGTCCATAGGAATGTTAACCAAATGATTGGTTGTTTTCCCCCCCAGAGTAAGTGGGGAGATGTAATTAACCTTATTAGCTGTACTTCATGAAAATGCTGTCATCGCTTTAAGCACTGTGTCCATAGAGTAAATTGTTTCTTATTTTATTAATTTTTAAAATATATTTTTATTGATATCAGAGAGGAAAGGAGAGGAAGAGAGAGATAGAAACATCAATGATGAGAACCGTTGATTGGCTGCCTCATACAAGCCCCACACTGAAGATTGAGCCCACAACCCGGGCATGTGCCCTGACCGGGAAGTGAACTGTGACCTCCTGGTTCTTAGGTTGACGCTCAACCACTGAGCCATGCTGGCCAGGCCAATTGTTTCTTATTATAAAAATTTAGTTTTTCATCTAATCAGCATGGACTCCTAAGCTCTGGAGTCCAAGGCCGGGATTCAGCATCCCACTCTACCACTTACCAGCAAATAATTTAGTTGTAGTCTCATCTGTGAAATGGGAATAACAATTACTGTGTTTACAGAAAATATTTTGAGAAAATAAATGGGAAAACAAGTCATAATATGCAAGGTCTAGAGAAATGCTCGTTTTGGTGGGACTGCAACTTTGGCATACGCTACAAAGTTGACCACCAATATATGCTTCAGAGCTAATGTCAGGGTCAGACTTTCCTTGGACTAATTTTAGCAGAGACTCTCAATGAATATCACATTTCATCCTTTGGTCTCAGGTTTTTCTAGTAAGACCAGTGTCCCAGAATGATGGTTAAACCAGGCTGGTGGCAATACCATGAAATGAATAACCTTTCGGGGCACCTCCTTATCACTCAGAGGCATCAGATAACAAGAGATATTCATGTTCTGAAGAACGCCCTTCCCCACATATATTGAAGTAGATGGGAAAGCATAAGAAAGCAATGAAGTTTTCCATGATACCCTTTCATCCTCTTCTTGACTGAATCTATCTCATCTTTCTCTAGTCTTGGGCCTCACAGATTAATAGGACTTAAAATAGTAATAATGCTAACACTTTACAGAGGAGCATTTATTATACAAAATCTTTGATAATATTTTTTTCTTCCAGGTTAAGGTGATCATTGAGGAAAGTGACAAATTTGAAATTCTAATGTCTTCAAATGAAGCCAATGACACAGGGCACATGCAGATCATTCTGGTCCCTAGTGAGGATGGGATGACTGTTATTTTCCCAGTCAGACCAACACATCTGGGGGAAATTTATATCACAATCAAAGCTATTTCATCTGCTGCTTCTGATGCTGTCACCCAGAGGATTTTAGTGAAGGTAAGTGGTTGGAGTTTCAAATAAATGAAATGGAAATACGTAGTTGAGAAGGAAACAGGAGATGGTTTTTCTAGTTTAGATTTGTTGGCAAGACCTTCAAACTCACCTCCTCTATCCTTCTGGTAATGTCTAATGATTTTTCCCCCATCTATATGTAAAAATATATTATACTTTGGAAGTACTTGCCAGTTTCCTCTTTAAATTTATATTATATTATATTATTATATTATACTATATTATATTAATTTATTTTAATTTATTATTTTATTTTATTTTTTGTTAATCCTCACCAGAGGATATTTTTTCATTGATTTTTAGAGATAGTGGAAGGGGAGGGGGAGATGCAGAGGGAGAAAAACATCAATGTGAGAGAGACACATCGATGGGTTGCCTCCCACACGCGTCCCTGCCAGGGCTTGGGATTGAGCCTGCAACCGAGGTATATGCCCTTGAAGGAATTGAACCTGCCACCCTTCAGTCCACAGGCCGACATCCTATCCATTGAGCCAAATTGGCTAAGGCTCCTCTTTAATTTAGAGTATGAATGCCCTGGCCAGTGTGGCTCAGTTGGTTAGAGTGTTGTCCAGTTCACCGAGGGGTCTTGGGTTTAGGCAAAACATTTCATGGAATGGTAATGGAAATGACAAAGCAGAAAATGAAAAGGTGATAAGAAAACCTCTCTGAGGTAGGTTCTATTATTACCCAAGAGAGAAATTAAATGCTTATCCAAAGTCTCACTTGACAGAGCTGGCATTTGAGCCCAGGGCTGCCTCACCTCAGAGTACAAGTGCTTATCCTCTATGCTGAGTCAGGGCACATATGCAGGTTTCGGTTTTGATTCCTGGTCCAAGCATATGTCTTCCTCACATCAATGTTTCTCTTTCACTCATCAATGTTTCTCTCTCACATTGATGTTTCTCTCTCTCTCTTTCTTTCTCTCTCTCTTTTCCTCCCTCCCTCCCTCCAATCAATGAAAAACATGTCCTTGGGTAAGGATTAAAATAAATAAAAGATAAATTTATAGTATGACTATAAAGCAAGTCTCTTTTGCAGTCAATTACATTTACAAATTGTGTTACAGTGGAATCCTGCTAAATCATGCTAAGTGGACATGTAGATTTTGAATTTTGAAATTCCTCAGCACATGTAGAAGAGATTTTATAGATTTTTTTTAGAGAACATATTATGCACAAAAACACAACTCAGCATAGTGGATAAGCACTTGTACTCTGAGGTGAGGCAGCCTTGGACTCAAATCCCAGCTCTGTCAAGTGTGACTTTGGATAAGGTATCTCTCTCTTGGGTAATAATAGATCCTACCTCAGAGAGGTTTTCTTACCACCTTTTCATTTTTTTGCATTGTTATTTCCATTACCATTACATGAAATGTTTGCCTAAACTAGAAAATAAACACTTATTAACAGATTTGAAGCAAGAATCAAGAAATGGTAGGCATTAATGGTACACACACTGTAGACACAACAGGGCAAATGTTTGTCTTATGATTTGCATACAGTTCTTGGTAAACTGACAAGTAAGGACCACATTAATTATATTGCTTTTGTTTCGACAGGCAGAAGGAATAGAAAAATTATATTCACAATCCGTCTTGTTGGACTTGAACAGGAGGCTGAAAACTACACAGAAAGTATTGAGTTTCTCCTTTCCTCCCAATGTAGTGAATGGCAGTGAAAGAGTTCAGATCACTGTGGTTGGTAAGAACAGAGTGTATCATCATCACCACTGGTTTATTTGTACATGATAATATATGCTTTCATCTCTTTGTACATATACCACATTTTCTTATTTAGTCAAAATGCAAAGAGGCTGCAAAAAGTTTTCAGTTGGTACCAAATAGAAAGGCTAGCAAGATTACAATAGAAAGGCAGACTAGCAAGCTGTGTCCTAGACCAGTTCTTCTCAGTGTTCAATGTGCATAGGAATCACCTGGGGGTTCTCGCTTAAAGGCGGATTCTGGCTTAGTGGGCTTGGGCTGGACCTGGGATTCCGCATTTCTGACAAGCTCCCAGCTGATGCCGATACATCTGATGTGCAGATTACGTTTGAGCAGTAGTCCCCATTATAATGTGGCTGCAGGGGGAGGCTATTTCTACAAACAGAACTTCTGCCTTCTGTGGCTCCCAAGTCCCGACAAATAGCAGAATCGTCTATGGCGCTTTGTAAAAACACAAATCTCTGGGCTCTACTCCCAACCTCCTCAGTCAGAATCTCTTGGGCTAAGGCTAGGGTAGGTATATTCTGGTCACCAGAGGTTGAAGGCTACTGCTTAGGGGAGCTTCTGTGCAGGACACAAGCCACCTTTATAGTAGAAAGCTACCCACTGACTGTAGGCATCCTCTCCTCATCTCCTGCTGGTGCCCGAAAAGTACTTTTATACTGACTATTAAGCAGATCTTCCACACAAACACTTTGTTTATATAGTTGTGCTTTCTAACAGATTGAAGGAAATGTTTAGATTAATGACATCAAAATGGTTCGGTGTTCAAGGTGTTAGGACCTTAGGCACTTTCTCAGAGGTTCTTTTACATCTCATCTGCAGGTGTAATGCTTTTTTTTATAACCCCAAGAAACCAATTTCTTTATAGAGGACTTTCTTTGGAGCCTTAGATATAACTCTTTAAAAAAATATTTTTATTGATTTCAGAGAGGAAGGGAGAGGGAGAGAGAGATAGAAATATCAATGATGAGAGAGAACCATTGATCGGCTGCCTCCTGCATACCCCCTAGTGGGGATTGAGCCCGCAACCCAGGCTTATGCCCTTGACTGGAATTGAACCTGGGACCCTTCAGTCACCAGGCCAACACTCTATCTACTGAGCCAAACTGACTAGGGCAGATATAACTCTTTAAAAAGAATTAAATGAACTCTTTGTTTAGGGGAATAAGTTCTGCATAGGCATCTCCTGCAGTGTGGGGATGCTGGGAGGATGCAGTCCACATATGCACACAAAGGGAAGAGCCTTGCATTTTATTTATTTCATCTATTTTTATTTTTAAAATATATTTGCATTGATTCCAGAGAGGAAGGGAGAAGGAGAAAGAGATAGAAACATCAATGATGACAGAGAATCATTGATTGGCTGCCTCCTGCATGTGCCCTTGACCAAGAATCAAACTTGGGACCCTTCTGTCCACAAGTAGATGCTCTATCTACTGAGCCAAACCAACTAGGGCGAGAGCCTTGAATTTTAAATGTATATCATCACCCCTTACATTGAAATGAATCTCTCTAGGGTCATTGAAGTGCTCTGAAATTTACTTTTTAATCTTGGGGTAAAGAATGGTCTCTCAAGTTTTATTTTATTTATTTATTTTTAAAATATATTTTATTGATTTTTTACAGAGAGGAGGGAGAGGAATAGAGAGTTAGAAACATCGATCAGCTACCCCCTGAACACCCTCTACTGGGGATGTGCCCGCAACCAAGGTACATGCTCTTGACTGGAATAAAACCTGGGACTCTTTAGTCTGCAGGCCAACGCTCTGTCCACTGAGCCAAACCGGTCAGGGATCAAGTTTTATTTTTATATGGTTTTTATTTTAAAAAGACTATTTGGTAGCCCAGAATGTTTGAATATCAGTTTGCCCTTTGAATTTTGAGAGTCTAAATTTATGTTCATTCTGAATATTAGAAACAGAACCTACAGTGGTAATAATATAACCTTTATTTAGATATTTGAGTTAACATATGAAGTTTGTTATGGTAGTGTGACTGCAGCCTACTCGTATGAAAGAGTTCTTCCTGTCTTTTAGGATTTATTTTTTTAAAGGATCGGATTTTCACTAAGTATTTGGACTTGAAATGGTACAAGTTTCTAAACTACACAGAAGAATAGTCTTCTCCATATAGCTCATCCTCAGTGGGGGCAGAATTAGAACTCAACCTCTATATTTCTGAATTTCTACTTATTTTCCTGAGTCATGGTGTTAGAATGTGGGTAGAGAAGTCTTTTAATTACATTTTGTTTAATTTTCTATAACTATCTTTGAAGAGTATTTCTAACCTTTTTGATCCTAAAAGTCATGGAAATGCTTTTATTTGTTAGTTCTACTTTGCTGTTACTTAAATAAAGCACATTGAAAAATATTACAATTTCTATCTTTTAAACAATTATTTCTCTAGTATTTGTAGTGTATTAGTAAGAAATCAGAATGGAGTTCTCTTTATGTAAAGAGTATTAATTAAAAAAATCATTTCTTTCCTATATAAGAATGATTGTTTGCTATGGTTAATTCTTGCCTTTTTTATTCAACAATTATTTTTAAACTTACTTTGTTGCCTAATGTGTGCCTATATCTTTAGCTGAGATAAAGGTGTCCTAATCTGACATGTAATCTGCAAGTTCAGTATCACTGTATTATCACGTATTTGATCAGTCATCCTAAACACTTGATGTAAATTTTCTACTCTGTTCTGAGCACCGGATGTGGACGTCTGTTCGCCGCCAACAGGTGCAGGTACGGAGTATTTGCTGAACGTGTTTCCATCTTGTGCTTTCAGGAGATATCCTTGGCTCTTCCATCAGTGGCTTAGCCTCATTGATTCAGATGCCTTATGGCTGCGGTGAACAGAACATGATAAATTTTGCTCCAAATATTTATGTTTTGGATTACCTGACTAAAAAGAAACAACTGACAGAGAGTTTAAAAGAAAAAGCCCTTTCATTTATGAGACAAGGTAAGCATTTCATTTTATTTTATTTTTAAATCTTTATTGTTGAAAATATTACATATGTCCCCTTTCAAGGTAAGCATTTTAGAAACATACTTTTATTTTATTTGTTTATTTATTTATTTTTAAATATATCTTTATTGATTTCAGAGAGGAAGTGGACATACTTTTTTTTTATATTATTTTTTTTAAGGCAGAGTTCACTCTATACCAGGGGTGCGCAAACTTTTTGACTCGAGGGTCACAATGGGTTCTTAAACTGGACCGGAGGGCCGGAACAAAAGCATGGATGGAGTGTTTGTGTGAACTAATATAAATTCAAAGTAAACATCATTACATAAAAGGATACGGTCTTTTTGTTTTTTAGTTTTGTTCATTTCAAACGGGCCGGATCCAGTCCGCGGGCCGTAGTTTGCCCACGGCTGCTCTAGACCATTTTTCAAAATAGACAGATTGTGTCTTTGCTATGTGATCATGGGACTCAGTAGATGGTGCTGACATGTGCTGGGAGTGTGAGTCTTCAGCTCATTGTTTTTCTGATTGCTGCTCAGGTGTTTCTTAAGGGTTTGGTTTTGGGAGGGGTTTGTATTTTAATAAGGGACATGAAATTTAAAGCTGCGTAAAGGAATGAGCGTTCACTTATTCATTAAACATTAGTCCTTTCTAGTGCTGGGGACAGAGGAAGTCAGGGCCTTTCCGCTCATGGAATTCCCTGTTCAGTGAAGAGTCTGACATACACACAGGTGGTGTCCCAGGTGGAGACCTTCTCAGTGCAAGTAACATGTCGAGCAGATGGTGAGGAGAGAAATGTTTGTCTGGGGAGGCCCTGCTTGACCCTCAGCAAAGGGCACACCAGTGGTGACTCTACCCTGACTCCTTGAGAGGCTCATACTGTTTGTAGACACCAGATACTTTGTGTCTGCCACTTGCTAATACCAACCGCGACCATTAGTTGAGTGCTTACTGTGTGGCAGGCAGTGTTCTAAACACTTTACATCTAATATCTCAGTTAATGCTCACAATTAGTAGTATCCTCCTGTTTTTATAGATGAGGAAACTGAGGTACAGAAAAGTTAACTGACTTGCCCAGGGTCCTATAGCAAGTGAGTGGCAGAGCTGGGATTTGAACTCCAAGTCCTTTCCGTGGTATAATAGTGTGTGCCAGGCTAAAAACAAAAGAGACCTTATGCACATTGCAATAATGGTTGTATTTAAGGAGATGAGTAAAATATATTTGAGACGGTCATAATTTAACCTTGAGAACACAAGCTTCCGACTTGTATTCAAAATTTAATTTGTTGGTTCCGAGAGGAAAGTATGTGGAAACTAGACTGCCGTGAAGATGACATGATATATTGTAGCAGCGGTCAGTTGCATCTAGCTAGGGAGTTAGGGTCTAAAGTCCGCAAGTAAATCTGGTCCATTCTCCCTCTGAAAACAAATGGGGGCTTCTTCCCCTCTGTCCATCCCATCCCATGGCTAGTTCTCCCATTCATATGCCACCACGGACCACTCCAGGGGCTCATAGATTCTCTGCTTCTGTGCTCACCGTCTCCACATATTATAAAAGGGACCTTTTGAAATTGTCAAAATCACATCACTGACTTGCTTAAAATTCTCCAGTGGGTTCCCGGCCTCATCCTACAAGGCCCCGATTGACCGGCCCGGCCTCCACCTTCCGCCTTGTCTGATGCTGCCCCGCCTGGCTCCACCTGGAGCTTCAGGCCTTCACACTTGTTCTCCTTCTGGGAGGGAGGCTCTTCCCCCCGATCCTCCTGTGGCCAGCTCCTTCTCCTCACTCATGTAGTGATTTCCTCCGAGTGGCCTTTCCTGACCATTTATTAATTCTCACTTAATTATCCCATTTTATTTTATTCACCGCATAACATTCTTTAAAATTATCTTGCTTATTTTTTTAAAATATATTTTATTGATTAATTGATTTCAGAGAAGAAGGAAGAGGGAGAGAGAGATAAACATCAATGATGAGAATCATTGCTCGGCTGCCTCCTGCATGCCCCCTACTGGAGATCGAGCCTGCAAACCGGGCATGTACCCTGACCGTGACCTCCTGGTTCATGTGTCAATGCTCAGCCACTGAGCTACGTTGGCTGGCTTTATTTATTTTTATTTCTAATATATTTTTATTGTTGATAGTATTACAGATATCTCCCATTCCCCCCTTTTTATTTTTAATTTTTATTCTTTTTATGTCCGAAAGCACCAGGGTTTGAAAGGGGCATGGGTAGACCCTCCAAACACGGGGAAATGCTTTCGCAGTTCCTCTCCCTGAAATTTTTATTCTTTTTATAATCCAACTGTCTCCTGGCAGTGGGGACCATGCTACTATCTTTTCCATTGTAACCCTATCTTGGCACTTCAATAAATGCAGGATGGATGAACACATTACTATCAATATTGCCTTTTTTGGGCGTTAGGTTCACCATCCTAATGTGGAGACTGGATCTAGAAGATCTCTCAAGTTCTCCCACAATGCAGTAGTTATTTGTCAACACTGCAGGCAGGTTCCCATCAGCTAGGAATCGGGACCAGTGATTTCAGTGTTTCGCCTTTTGAGCTGGTGAAGTGTCTGATGGAAGTCGGTACAGTGGAGCGCCCCTACATGCACCATTTCACACGCTGAACTGAAGCACATTTCAAAGTGGAGGACAGAAACTTCTTGGTATAATGATTTTCATTATGAAATCAGCGTCTCATTTCAGAGACTCTGTTTTTTCTTTTGCCATCACACTTGCCAAAGTTCTTTAAATATACCGTTGTTGTTTTTATTTTTTACGAAATTAAAGTGGCTTTGGCATGAGTCATGATTATATTACTTAAATGTCATTTATGAACAGCGCATTGTTTTACTTAAATCATGCTTGGCCCAAGAGCCCTGTAACCCGACCCACTGTTTTTTATCCAAAACAACAGCTACATCATTGAATGAAGTGTCTTTTGCTGTCAAAAGAAAAATAGAACCGTAAAATGAAAGCTGTTTTTGATAAGGACCTGAATCTGTTAATTAGAGATCGAAGACACTTGTTTTCCTCAAATATTTAAATCCTGGTGCCTGCAGCTCGATTTTCAAGTGAGATTCAGACTGGGCTTAGTTGAAAACACATTATGTTTTCTCTGTTGAAATAAAAACAGGGGAAAAGTAGTTTTCAGAAGTCTGATGCTGCAATTGGTCATCACAAGAATGGCCAGAGGCAATGGTGGAGATATTACTGAAAAACCTGGTGAAGTTCTCATCTTCCATTTCATGTCACAGAGAGGAAGGGAGTGGATAATGACCACTTATCTTTTAGTACAGAGGATATTTTCACCAGCTTTTTTTAAAAAAACAAACCCACAGGAAGTGATTGATATAGTCACATCGAGCTGATTTTACCCCTTTTATTTTGTGTATGCAATTTTGACACTTGAGGTAAACCACATTAAATTATGGTTAGAACGTTACTTTTCTGTGTGTTTCTATGCACAGTGGTTTCATATTTATCATGATAAATTGTAAATATTTTACATTTGAGGCTATTTCAAAGAAAAGTCATGGCCCAATACGTATCTTTTCTGGCTCTTAATAAGGAACAGTTCATGTGGACCTCTGGACTTCTTCTGTATTTTAATTGTCGGAGTGTCTGGTGATTCTGGTTATACAGTATAATTGCTTTCTAACTCAAGAACTTGTCATAAAACTATGAACCTAAAGGCTGTACTCTTATTTCCTCATAAACTTTTGGAGAACACCATGCTCTTGCCTTTCTCACCTATCATGATGAAACGTCTCCAGCTTAGGTGACTGCACCGAACATTGAATTGTATCGATAGACATTACAGCTGAGCCAACAATGTTATTTCTGCTTCTGGGATGGGCGATTTGGAGGACGAGGAGCCGAGGGCTCTTTAAGGATGCACAGATGGTTTAGGACGATGGAAGGGCACATCACAGGAGACTCCCCCCAGAAGAGCCATGTGAGCTCCTCTCTTTAGGTTCTGATTCTCTGCTTTATTTTACCGTTGGGAGCAGGGCTGGTGGTGTAGCTTTTCTGTTTTATCTAAACCAGCTCCAGAAATGCACTCCCCACCAGGAGATTGTCCGCGAGTCCTCCCCCCTGCCAACCCCCGCTCCCTCTGGGCTGGCTGCCCCTGGTGGAAGAATGGTGCTAGTTGTTGATATTAATGGGGACTGCTGGAGGTCAGCCACCTGAGGGGTAATTTCCATAAGCACTGATCTCATCTCCATGAGCTCATCTCTCTGACTGGTTTTACAATAACTCAGACTTGGAACGGCCGTTGTTGATGTGATTTGGGGCTTGGAGTCACATGGTCTTCTTCTCCACGTGGGTCCTTCCTTTCACAGGAGCAGCTCCTGTAGTGATGGAGGGCCCTGTACCGTTCCTTTCCTTGGTCCTCTTCTCTTTTCCTCTTCTTCCTCCTCTCCTCTCCTCTCCTCTCCTCTCCTCTCTTCCTCCCCTCCCCTCCCCAAAAGTTTAACTTCTTGAGTTCACAGTCTGGTAGATTTAGTCTTGAATTAGAAATCGAGGAAGAATGTCTTGGACTCTTTTGCTAATTTCTTTTGTGAATATTAGACCATTATTCTGCTTCTCTGTGATCCCTGACTAGCTCTGAAAAAGGAAGAGATTTTTTGCTGTGTTTTTTTTCCCCCAAAAGTTTAACTTCTTTTCATTCTTATTTGATTTTTTGAATATGTAGAACAATTCTTCCAAAAGTCAAAACTTTTCTAAAAGGTATATGCAAAGGTATATGTAACTCTTGTATCCCTTCTCCCTATCCTTGTAGGTAACTTACTTCATTAGTTTCTAGTTTCTTTCTCTCTCTGCAGAAATGAACATCTGCACAAATGTTTTCTTGGTTCTTTTTCTTACACAAAAAGTTATATGCTATTTTAGACTTCACCTTTTTCACTTAATAATATATCCGGCAAATTACTACACATAAGTTCAGAGAAATAGCCCTTGTTCTTTTTTCACAGCTGCATAGTACTGCACTGTGAGTATGTACTACATTGTGTTCAACCAGAGTCTAATTTGGGGGTATTTAGGTCATTTCTAATATTTTTGCAATTACAAACAAAGCTTCAATGAATAAACTTTTGTATGAATATGTCTATATTGTTGGAGGTGTATCTTTAGGATGGATTCTTAGAAGTAGGATTATTGGGTTACAAGGTATAGACGTTTTCCTACATAGGAGTTGTACCATTTTGAATTCCCCCCAGCAATGATGAGGACCCTGGTCTCCTTACAGCCTCCCGGACAGAATGAATGGTCAAGCTTTTGAATCTTTGCTAATGTGATGGGTGAGAAATGGTATCTCAGTGTGGCTTTAATTTGCATTTTGCTTATTATGAAGATGAATATTTTTCACATATTAAGGTCCATCTTTCTTTGTTTTTTTATAAAATGTCTGTTCTTGTCTTTTATTCATTTTTTCCCTATAAGGAATCTAAAAATTTTCCTTTTTAAATTTAAAAGTTTATATATATATA